TGTTCGATTTCCGCGAAGTAGTTCTGCGGGTTCTCGCAGAGGGTGAAGCGGCCGAAGCGGCGGAGGGGCACCTCCGCCTGAGGCCAGACTTTGGTCAGGTCGAAGACATTCCAGCGGAATTTCTCAGCCTGCTCGGGGCTGAGGACCTGAACGTAGCACGTCCAGGATGGGTATTCGCCGCGCTCGATGGCTTTGAATAGATCTTCGGTATGCCAATCTGGATTATCGGCGGCCATCTTGGTGGCTTCTTCGTTGTTAAAGGTCTTGTTGCCCTGATCGGTCTTGCAGTGGATTTGGACGTAGTTGAAGGTTCCGTCAGGCTTGGTCCACTTGTATGTGTGTCCAGAATAGCCGTTCATGTGGCGGTAGGAGTACGGGGTGCCACGGTCACTGAAGAGATGCATGACCTGGTGGGCGGACTCCTGATGGGTGGAGAGGTAGTCCCAGAACATAGTAGCATCCTTCAGGTTGGTCTGTGGGTTTCTCTTCTGGGTATGAATGAAGATAGGAAACTTTGATGGATCACGCAAGAAGAAGACTGGGGTGTTGTTGAAGACCCAGTCCCAATTTCCTTGCTCGGTGTAAAATTTGGTGGAGAACCCTCTAGGATCGCGAGCACTATCGGCGGACCCCTTCTCTCCACCCACAGTGGAGAAGCGGGTAATACACTTTGTCTTCTTTCCCACACCCAAAAGCATATCAATGACCGTCTACAATGTACCGTTAGAATTTATCCCAAAGAGATACCTGAAACGAAACTTGCGAACGGGAATGTGCGTATGGGGTTTTAACATACAATGTCGCTGATATCATCCAAGACTTCGAATTCACCGTAAGCTCCTGCACCTTTAGCATGGACCACTCGTTCGGGAATTCGCTCGCGATCGAAATGGGCAAGGAGATCAATCAGGTGGAAATCCTGGAGGAGCAGGGGGCCTTTCATTCCCACCCGCTGGGAAGACTCAGGGTCCATGACCTAGAACCGCAGGATAGTCAGCATCAAGCCAGCCGGACGAGATTCTGTGCTGCCACATGTTCTTATGCGTCCCTGGTTGGTTGTCGCATGTTGAGACATAGAGCAGATTCTGCAGATAGGCGACTTACCGGGCAGCCATTGGACGTGGTGTAGGTGGGAGTTTCAGTATAACGGTAAGTACCTAGAGAGCAGTGTAGTGTGGTCAGCAATCAAATTAGAGAGCATAGTATACATATATATATATATATATATATATATATAGGGGTGTGTGTGTGGGTGTATATGTGTCCATGGGTCTTCTGTAGAGGGGTCATTGGGCCAATAGCTCAAAGGGGATAGCACAAAATAGAGAGAGTTCCTTGGAGGGCACATACTGGACGCAACGTCGGCACCCATGATGGCGGTAGGTGACACTGAATATCTAACAAAATCAATCGAAGAGAGTATACGAACTCAATAGTAGTAGTAGGAAACGATGAGTTCTCGACGGAGAAGATAAGGGATTTGATAGGAGTATTTGCAGCCAAACAACCAGTCCAAGGGACAGTGAGGAGACAGACTACGCCGGAGAGGGGATGGAAGGGGGAAGAGAGGGGGAGGTGGCGTTCCCTTTATATATATATCGAATCCAGTATATCTGGCCGATAGCTTGCGTTGTTGACCCCCCCCCCCCCCTCCTCCTCTTTGGGGGTGGGGGTATGCTGCGGGGAAATGCGTCACAGGCGCGGTACATCCAATCGCTCGCATGCTGGCAGGAAGAACAAGTATCTTCAGGTCCCTCCGTGTAGCCGATGCACCGCCACGAAAGGAAAAACCTGTAACTATAAGCTTATCTGAGTGAAGCTCTTAAACCATATTCACTCCCCTTCCGCCGCGGGGAAACAATCAACCAAATATAATCTTGGGTTTATTAAATAACATTGGTGTAAAGTAGATCGAGTAGTTACTCAAACATCTATCTATATTTTGATGTTCCCTCTCTCTCTCTCTCTTCCTCCCCCCCCCCAAACCGACTATCCTTGCAACGCAGCTGAGGTGGACATGAACAAGAATATCATATCTCCACATGCGGGGCCCTCTGTAGTAACTACCTTACTAATGAACCAGTCAACTCTCAGACAAAAATAATCAGAATCACGAAACCTTGGGACGCCAGCCAATGGATCTGTTTCTGGTCTGCTCCAATCACAGCCGTCTTGAAGGTAAGAAATCCCAAATCTGGAACAGCGAAACGTCAATGTATCCATGGATGGACAAAAGTTCCAAGTCGTTTTTATGCCTCACCCCAGTCCGACCCATGGATTGCGAAGGACCTCCCGAAATATCCCAACCACGGAATTGGTGGCCCGGTCCAGAGGGCATATCTAAAAATTCACACCTTGCGCTTGTTCTTCCAAATGTTCAAGATCACCTGGACAGGTCATATCGAAGATTTGAGAGCATAAATCCTCAAACCTAATTAGTAACAGCAGTTTTGCTCGGAACACAAAATGCCTCGGTCGACACTGATTCTAGAAGCTCGATACGAGGAGGCGCTTCCTTTCAGCTGCCAGCAGAAACCGCCCGAAATCCTTAAAACTCTTTTTTCAACGAATCATGGGCAAAAGGAATCAAATGTTATTGTGATGGTACTTGGAAGCTAACGCCACAGTCGAGACAGTCGCTTCTTGGGTTCACGTTTTGGAAGTTTCAGACATCCCTCCGACAACCGTCCAGTAATTAACTGACTAACGGTGTTTGTCTTGAAGCGTTGCGCCAGGTTGTTCAGTTGCGTGCAATCTACCCACCCCTCTTTCTGGGGCTGGTGTTGATAACCCTCAAGTGGAGACCAACCGCCAGGGCATTCTTAGGGCTATTTGCTGCTCATCTTCTCTTCTTCGTTTTCTATCAATGATGTATGTTTTTAACCCGAGAGTAATTCTGAATAATAACCAGCGCTATTTTTAACCGGCCCCCTTCCCCAATCCCGAAGAGCAATATTGCTAGGAAAAAGGAAGCCGAGGTGCCTGAGAGGAGAAACATCATGCAAGATATATTATAATCTCAGGAGACAGTCGGTTTGCCGAGCTGTCTCTGCATCTCCATATACAACTAGTTATCCCCAACAACAGGGTAGCGATCCCTCAAGGGTGCTGTACGGCGCCTTCATGTGTATAAACGTCCATATATATATATTCATTCGAGCAGATCAGAGAGATATAGATAGATAGATACCTTCTAGAAACGCGAAAAATGGGGGTCTGCGGGAACAGAGGGTCGTTTGATCTTTTATTAGTAACAGAACTGAGCTTGAAAATTAAGTTTAGTTTCATTCTTCCCACAGGGTTCCGTGGATAATGTTAGCCCAAATAGTGTTTACAAAACTATTTCTCATAAAGTTGCCACCACTGAACTGGCCAAATGGGAAGAAGTTGTTAGAGTTAAGCCTGCGCCGAGTATTAACCCATTGCGTTGGGGATAATTTCCCACCTAATAATAGTAGTTATGAGTATAGTCAGGTGGCCCCCAAGATGGCTCGTTCCACACTGTCCATAACCTGCAATGTATTTATATTATATTTATGTGTGTGTATATATGGAAGCAAAGACAACAAAGATTTCAGCAACAACCACAGAATAGCTAGCTCCTTTTTGATTTCAGGGCGTCCGTTTCCTTTCGCTGACGACCGTCGAGCTAAATTACTTAAAATAATAATCTATCTAGGTTACTGTGCTAGTTCTTCAGAATGAAGATTCCGTAGTTGTTCGACTTCGAGCCAAACAATGAGAGGCAGAAAGAATGGTGGAGGCTTCGTAAACGGGCTTCGCAAGTCGGGAAATCAATGTCCTTATTTTGAGCCATGTCGCTGGGAACTTGGAGGATGGAAGAAATGCAATAATTTTGAGCCCCGTAAAATTCCCTGTCGATGTAACCAATCTCCAACTTGGATATTTAACTACGTATCTCTCTACGCAAAGCATTTCCAGGTCGGTCAGTATTCACATAAAATTCGCCGGTTGAAGGTTGAAATAAGGCAACAAAGCCTGGCCAAGCCCGCTCTGCCCTATCGGCAAGCCTTGGCATCGCGGGCCGCAGTTCCACCGGTTCAACAGCAGCTTGTTTCAGCCTCCCCAACATCGACAACCAACATCAACATCAACAGTATAAGGGGCCGGCGTCCTCTGACAATCCCTCTCGTCAAAGACACAAAGGATTTTCAACAAGGCTCTTCAACAACTGCTGGCTGTTGCGATGCACGGTCTTCTTCTCTTGCACACATAACTATATCCCAGGGTTTCCTTTTTTCCCCCATCTTTTTACTTTTTCTTTTCTTTTTTGGTGTTCAACGAAGCTGTAAAGTCACTTTTTGGGGTGAAGTCACAACGTTCGCGGATCTCAAGTGAGCATGACTCAAAATTATCTGAAATACCCATTTAATGGCAAATCACTCCTCTTGGGAACTCTATTTGATTTTCCCACATTTTTGTTCCAATCATAAGCAGGGGGGCGGCGGGGGGTGGGAGAAAAAGAAAAAAAACAACCGTTAAGGTTTTCCACCATAACCAGGAAAGGGTTGTGTTTTATCACGCATCTCGGGAGGATCCGTGGCATGTATTTGGATCTCCTTTTCCTTCAGTGTTAAGCAGGAATCCTCTTCAGGCAACGATGTTATATACTCAAAAGTCAGATGCTGGGTTTACCCCAGGTTGCTATCCCTTTTCCATCTATTTTGGATAAGGATATGTATAATTCCAGCGAAGCAGCGAATGAGAGGCCAAAATGACATTCTAAGGTTTCATCTCCCCAGACTTTTATTCTAGCTTACCGCTTTCCCCGGATTTTCATTTTCTATGGGCCCCACTTTTTTGCCATTTCCCCCCCCCTCAAAAAAAAGGCCATTTCATCTCATCCGCTTAACATCACCGCCCCGTAACCAAATTCACCACGTCTTAACTAAACTCCCTTTTCGAACTTTTGATAGTTCTCTGACCACATCGAAACCAGCCTGCCAGAGAGCATTCTGATCGCAGTCATTTACACCGCCATGCATGAGGTATCTAACATTTACATCATCACAGCTATCGCTGTGGTTGGTGGTGCTCTCTTCGGTTTCGATATCAGTTCGATGTCTGCGATGTGCGTTACTACTGTTCACATCCAAGATATTTCCTATTTATCTCCTCCGCTGACTTTCTGCAACAATAGTATCTCCACCCAACACTACCTTTGCTACTTCAACCAAGGCCCCAACTTCTTTGGGGAAATTACTCCAACTAACCCGAAGGGTCTCTGCAGTGGCCCTAGGCCTGCTATTCAAGGCGGAATCACCGCGGCTATGCCCGGTGGTTCCTGGGTTGGAGCTCTCATTTCCGGTTATCTAACTGATCTTCTCGGTCGCAAAAAATCCATCCAAGTCGGCACTATGTTTTGGTTTGTAGAAACCCTTTACCAAATATTTGAATTATGCATATGTCTGTGCGTATTAAATAGGCTCGCTAACCGCTGATTTTCCTCCTTTTGTCAATCAGGATTATTGGAAGTGCCATCTCTAGTGGTGCTCAGAACATCGGTATGCTTATTGGCGGACGCTTTATCAACGGTTTGGCGGTTGGTATCTGCTCCGCCCAGGTTCCTGTCTACATCTCAGAGTTGGCCCCTCCTTCGCGCAGAGGTCGACTAGTTGGAACACAACAGTGGGCCATTACGTGGGGTAAGTTCTTATCTATTTTCTCTCGCTCACTGTGCGTTCATCCACTGACAGAATGTGATCACCCAAAAAAAAAAAAAAAAAAAAAAAAAAAAGGTATTCTGATTATGTTCTACTTGTCTTACGGATGTACATTCATCGGACCCGAGAACGGCACAGCTGCCTTCAGAGTTCCGTGGGCTCTGCAGATGATTCCCGGCATCTTCCTCTTCCTTGCGCTGTTCTTTATGCCGGAATCCCCTCGCTGGCTGGCTAAGAAAGGTCGCTGGGATCAAACTCAAGGGATCATCACCGCCATCCATGGCAAGGGCGACACTACCAATCCCTTCGTCAGGGCTGAACTGGAAGAAATTGAATATTTCGTCAATCTGGAGAAGACTAATGATACCACGTATGCCCCCGTTACACACTGTGACGGTGACGTAAAAGATTACAACGACTAATTCCATGGGCAGGTACTCTGACCTTTTCAAGCCAGATATGATCTTCCGAACCCACGTCGGTGTCTTTACACAGATCTGGAGTCAGCTGACAGGAATGAATGTCATGATGTATTATGTACGTATTAAGTTGAACCGCTCTTGTCTCCTTGTGCCGCTATTCCCAAGATCACATGGCTAACTAATTTTATCTAGATCACCTATGTGTTCGCTATGGCCGGAATGAAAGGCAACACCTTACTTGTGTCATCCTCGATTCAATTCATCATAAGTAAGCCCCAACTCTATTGAGAACCCCTTGAGAGAACCTTCAACTTAACGCAATTCGTTTCAGATGTCGTCATGACCGTCCCCGCACTCATCTGGGTCGACAAATGGGGTCGCCGCCCTACCCTCATAGCCGGTGGACTCCTCATGTGTACTTGGATGTTCGCCACAGGTGGGATTATGGGCGCGAACGGCCACATCGTACCCGGGGGCATCGATGGAGTCAAAGCTGTGTCGTGGGCCGTCAACCCAGGCCCCGCAGCAAAAGCTGTCGTGGCATGCACATATCTCTTCGTCGCCTCCTTTGCGCCCACATGGGGCCCCGTCTCCTGGATCTACCCGCCCGAACTCTTCCCACTCCGCTTCCGCGGCAAGGCTGTGGCGCTGTGCACATCCGCCAACTGGATCTTCAACTTCGCTCTCTCTTACTTTGTCCCACCAGCTTTTGAGAACATTCAATGGAGGGCATACATGAGTAAGTCTCTTATCCCAGTCATCCGTTCCCTTTCAACCTTTTCCACATCTCAATATTAACGAGCAGCCACACAGTCTTTGGCGTTTTCTGCGCCGCAATGACCATCCACGTCTTCCTCGCCTTCCCCGAAACAGCGGGTAAATCTCTCGAAGCCGTCGAAGAGATCTTCACGAACCGCATACCAGCATGGAAGACACGTGTCACAACCAACGTTACCATCGCAGCCGAGCAAGGAGATGTTGAGGCTACGGGCACCTTTTCTGAGCATACCAAGATGCACACGCGAGAGGAGATACGACAGATCAACGCTACGACCACGACCACGACCAACGGCAACACTACCTCTGCGACATCGTCACCCAAATCCAAGGAGCATGCCACTACCACTGTCTAAGTACGGCGGGCCGTTTCTGTTGGCAGTGGCTAACTCTGTAATGCGTTGCAAAATGTTACTTATGAAAAAAATTAACGATATACAGACTTAGCAAGTTGTATATACCGGCGTTACGGAGTAAGGGGCGAGGCGGAAGGAGTCTGGATTGGCTTCTCGTTATCTCCGATAATTTTATTGCCGAGATACCTAACTCCCAGCTCTCGATTACCGATTTATCTAACCCTTATTTTTTAATTTTTTAATTTTTAATTTTATTTTATTAGTTGTTTTTTCCTTCTCAAAGCAAGCGCGGGGACCAAGTGGCAGTGCCAATGCTTTTAATATTTCGCTTTTCTATCCAATACCCTCTTATTAAATGTTCTCGATCTCATATTCAGAGGTGTTGAATATCCACGACTTCTCACTGTCTCGGGTGGCAATTGGAATTGGCATGGCAATATCCCAGAATATGCCCAATGGCTGGTTAACTTTTAAGTATTTTTATTCTATTTTTGCGTGATTAATAGTTTGCTTCTTGTGTGGGTTTATGGGAAGGAACCGAAAATTCCCAAAGGTGAAAATAATCAGTGAAAGAATAATGAAAAAGGCAAAACGGAACAGGAAAAAAAAAAAAAAAAAAATCAGAACAAAGGGAGAAATGTCACCAATAATTGGAGAACAGATTGAAAAGAAGGGAGGAAGGGGTGAGGTGATTATGATTTGAGCTTCATTGTGATGGTTTTATTGTGATATCCTTTTAATTCCTGATATGGATGAAGATGGCTATTTTGTTATCAGACTTTCATGGATTAAGGATAATCGTTTTAATAATTCATTCCTGTTTTCCCTCCTGAATTAGTCTGTCAATAGCGTTTCTTTCGGAAAATCTTAATAGCTGAATGTTTCTTTCGTATGTGGAGTATTACCTGTGTGAAGGGTAGTGAACGTGTATGGAGGATAAAAACTGGATGACGGGACATGAGAAGGGAGATATCTGTCTTTACAGTTTTCGTAGAAAAATGTCATCCCAAAGTTGTGCATTGGATAGTGAGTCGATAGGGTGTTATCCATGCTGGTTGGTCTTGATTTGATTGTTCCCCAGTGGAACTCCTCTCAAATCAGCAGTTCGAGAAGCAGAAAGGCGGTTTCCGTTCGGTTGCTGCTCTACTAATATTTTTGTATTTGTTCTATCAAATAGGTATTAACAAGGAGGTGATAGTGTGTTTGGGGGAGCTGGACCCGAGATGAAAAGAAAGGAGAAAGGAGAAGGAAAGGGATGAATTCTGAACGCTGTCCGCCAGTTCAAGTCCATTTTGATCTCCCCCCTCCTCTTGATTATGAACTTTCCGATTGAACCGTTTGCTAACATCAGGGAATACCACATTAGCACCAGCAGACAAATTATCAATCCAAGGCAGTCGTTATATAACTCACCACCAACCAATCCATCCCCTCATCAATCCCCTTCCCATCAATGGCCGAACAGGCAACAATACTCCAATTTCGATCCCTCAACTCACCCAACTTCAACGCCTCCGAAATCTCCCCAGCCCCCTTCGCGCCCGGCTGGTCCTGTTTATTCGCAAAGACCAGCAGGGCAGCATCGCGCAGTTCCTCCTCGTTCAGCATTGCAGCTAGCTCGTCGGAGGCCGTCCCCAACCGCTCGATGTCTGTAGAGTCGATGACGAAGATTACGGCGGCGGTGTTAGCGTAGTAACATCGCCAGTAAGGACGGATGGAGGTTTGGCCGCCTAGGTCCTGATTTGAGTTAGATCATGATGGCGGAGTTTCAGGCGAAAGAGGGAGGGGTGTGGGAGTTGGGGTCGGTTATGGGAACGTACCCAGACGTTGAAATTGAGGTTTTTATATGTGACTGATTCGACATTGAAGCCGATTGTTGGTATAGTGGTGACGACTTCGCCAATCTAGGTGGATATCTCTGTTAGCTTTTAAGAGTTCACTACATAGATTTCTGGAGGGGGTATGGAATACATGCCTTTAACCGGTAGAGTAGCGTTGTTTTGCCAGCATTATCCTACATGAGGCAACAGTTAAAATTCATTAATCTTTCACCTAAACGAAGATCCAGTTGATATCTCTTATCCATAAAGGATGTCTCCACGCACGAGTCCCAAAATCAAAATCCGGATTTCCTTCTTGGTCCAAAATAGGCCAGACAGTATTTTTGATATCGATCCTCCCATTCTTATAGAGAATCTATGCTATGTATGTAATGCTGGACAATAAAGAAGGATGCGACCGCGAGGAGGACAGGGAGGAGGTAATGGGGTGTTAGCTCTTTAGCGGTTACGGTCTGCGGTCCACGAATTCCTCGAAAATAATGGGTATATGTCGTCTTCCAGAGACACAGGCAAGCTAAGTAAGCCCAGTGACGGTCTGGAAGTGAAGTGAATAGGCGTTAAGGCCGTATTCAAGGTATATAAATTGTATGTCTGCTGTGTAGTGGTCCTATTAAACTGCCTTTATAAAGACGTGGAGACAACGGCACAGCTGGCCTCGAGGGAGATTGCTCAACAAGGGAACGGAAAGGATAGGAAGATGTAAGTTGACTACCAGTAAAGAGACGGAGAGGTAATGAAGATATGCGGTGTCTAAGAGAGCGAAAGTATTATGAAGTGTAATTGAGTATTTAAAAAATATGACTCCGGTGAGGGTTTAAGTGGCGCGCGCATTCACGGCTTGAAGGCCAGCTAAATATTTACCGTGGTTCCTTGATCTTCAACCAACGCAACATCAAATATTTATCAACTCTCATCATTCGACTCTGCTGCAACTCTGCTTCAATCACCTCTGTCAGCAGTTGAATACCACTACATACAGGAGATCTGACAGAGGCATTGCATTGTGGTTCTAGCTACTTCATACAACCCCGACAGGGACGAGTAGATAGGTACTGATTGCACTGTTTAAAGCTCCGGGAGAGTGGGAAGTCGACAACATAACCGGAGACAAAGTACTTTGAGAACTGCTGCAAGGAGCACTACGGATTCAGGCCTCAATCGATATTCCGTCTACGATACGGGATATCATCTCATGTCATAGAGCTTGCGCTATCGTATTATTTATCACCTCAATTGCGGCCGGATTTGCACCTGAAACTTCTCACCATTCGCTCTCGTCACAACTGGATTAAGGCAATCAGGATATCAAGATGGTGGGTAAGAAATCTGGGGCAAGTGGGGAGATGCTGAAGAAAGAGGGTATGTAGTATATTTGTTTATCCCGCACATATTTGATTCTTTCAACTGAGCTGGCGCTTATCCCTCTTCGTGTTTGATAGGGCTGGCGAGATTTCACAATAACATGGCCCTTACGAGCTGGCCACAGGTTCCAGCTATAAACCAGAAGAACTATTATACGTAAGTCCCTCCTTCAAGCTTGGGCAACGCCTGCTACACCGGCTAGAGGGAGAAGTTTGGTTTACTAATTTTACAAATATGCGCGCAACTTTGAAATGGTTCATTTAGTGAGTACCTGAAACGAGATGACCAAATCCTTGCCTACCGACTTCAGAATGAAGAAGCCCGCAATCGCATGACCAAAAGTGCCAAAGATCGAGATAGAGCGCTGGCAATGTCTAAAACAGAGCTTCCACTGCCAGACACCGAGCAAGATGCTGATGGAGACACCGGGTTGGACGACGCGAACGGGGAATCCGCCCAAGAGGTGGTTGGCTCCAAAATCATCGTTATGCACGTTGGAAGCCAGAATCTACGGATCGGGCTCGCAAGTGACGCGTTGCCCAAAACTACGCCCATGGTCATTGCACGCAAGTCTCACGAGAACGAGGCGGAAGAAGACGGTGGTGAGCCCAGACCGAAACGCTTAAAGCTTGATGATGGACGGCTTATGGAGCCAGATAAGATGTTTGGACCTGAGGTATGTTGCTATATATGTGTCACATGTCATGCCATATTCGTTACGCTGGTCATTGTATGGGCTACAACTGACCTTTTTTTTTTATTGTATTGGCAGTTTTCATCCCAATACACTACAATGTGTGCAGAACTCAGAGCACATATGCGTGCAAATAAAAGACGAACACTTCCCAACTCGAAAGAAATGGTGATCAATTACAATCGTAGAACAGTGCCAGAAACCATCTCTGAGCATAATGATCCAATGCGTATTGAATGGACGGAGGTTCCGTCTGACCCAAAGCAAGCCCCTGAGTACCTCACCGGAGAAGCTGCATTGAGAATACCAGACTATTCTAACCCTCGATACAAGCTATTTTGGCCTATCAGGCACGGAAGGCTCAACGAAAAAGACTACGACAACAAGACCCTGCTTTTTCTAGATATCGCACTCATCCTCGAAGAGGCCATGAAGTGCCAGCTTAACTTGATCCGCAAAAAGGACTGGGGCCAGTACTCCTGCGTTTTCATTATCCCAGACCTTTACGAACGGGCATACGTTACGCAGATTTTGGAGATGCTGATGCGAGAATTTGGATTTGCCCGCGTCTGCTTTGTGCAGGAGAGTCTCGCGGGGACCTTTGGAGCTGGATATACGTCAGCTTGTGTCGTGGATATAGGTGCCCAAAAGACTTCAATTTGCTGTGTTGAGGAAGGCATGTGCATTGAGAGCTCGCGCGTGAATCTCAAATATGGCGGGACAGATGTGACTGAGACATTTATCAAAATGATGCTCTTTGACCATTTTCCGTACGAGGAGATCAATCTAAACCGTCGCTACGACTTCCTACTGGCTGAAGAATTGAAAAGGAATTTCTGCATGATGAATGAATCCAACGTCTCTGTGCAGGTGTCCGAGTTCCATCTTCGGGCATCTGGCCAGGATACACGCAAGTACACCTTCAAGGCCTACGATGAGGTCATCCTTGCACCAATGGGCCTATTTCAGCCTGAGATATTCGACGTCTCCCAAAAACTCAAGGGACGTCGAAAGCTAATCAGCCGATCATACGATTTATACGATGGCCAACCAAACGACCCCACCTCAGCCGCCCAGTCGGAAATCCTCATGGCGATTGCGCCCTCTTCACCACCAAACAGCAATAACAGCAACAATAATGGCACAGGTAACTCTCAACCAAACCTCGCAGACGTACAATCAACACCCAGCCGTTCCCAAACCCTCAACGCCATAAGCCGTCTACAAGACCAAGACCCAACCCCACGTTCTTCCGTCGCCGGCTCCCCAGCCCCCGACGCGATCGGTACGCCGCAACAAGGCGGCCCGGGAACTCCAGCCCCAGTCTTCCAAGCCCCAGCACCCTCCACAACCCCACGCCGGCCCACCGTCGAAGAACGCGACGACATCCTCCCCATCTTCCCACTAGACAATGCCATCTTCACGGCCATCGGTGGCGTAGCACGCGTCGAGGAGAGGAAGTTCACCGACTTCCTCGGCGGGGTGTTGGTGATTGGTGGGGGGAGTTTGATTTCGGGGTTCCATTCGTTCTTGGAGGAGAGGATGCATATTCGGCGGCCTGAGTTGGCCAGTGCGGTTATGGTTGGGACGCCGCCGAGGGAGTTGGATCCGCAGGTTGTGGTGTGGAAGGGGGCGAGTGTTTTTGCGAAGTTGGATGCGACAAATGATAGTTGGATTGGCAGGCTAGAGTATGATCGGTTGGGGAGCCGGATTATGACTTATAAGTGTATGTGGGCTTGGTGATATGGGGTTGGTTATTATTTAATTTCTGTTTCGATGGCCGGGATGGTTAATGTCTTGATGTATTGTATGGAATGTATTTTCTTGCTTTATTTTATTTTATTTATTTTGCCTTTTTTTTTAAAAAACAAAAAATAAAATTACAATAGAATATCTTTATAATTGTTAAGACTTCTTAGTTCTAAACTACAAGTTTCTGCTCCATAATGAGTTGAATCAATCAATCATCAAATTATCTACTCCGTATTGTTGTACTTTGTTTGATAGTTGTTCGGAAAAACTATTTATCCATTCCCATTTCTAGCCAGCGGTGACAGTTGGCAGAATGCTTTCCGATATCAATTTGATTCACTTGTTGAAGACCAAATGTTTTGTCTCAACATTTGTCTCTACACTTCACTGTTGCTATTTTCGCAGTCGTCATCATATCTCTTAAATCTCTTAATTACTTTACAGGTGTTAACGCAACCCCATAGTACATCAGGTAATCCATTTTTCATTGTTCCCAGTGAGACAGACTCATAGGATCCAGCTCCTTTGTCGCAAGTCTCTCAACACAATCAGATGGACTTTCAGCTAATTTCTTTGCGCCAGAACTTTCTATATTACGCCAACCTTCCGTGGCTGCTCACCGTAGCAGCCATGTCAAAAACAAAAGATGGCCACTCCGGTGAGAGCTACCATCAGGAATACATCGCCTCTTTACGATATCGCAATGACTTGCCGCCCCCCGAAATGCCTCCCAAATTCCTCGAGATTCCCCACGAAGGGTTAGAGCGCTTTCTTACTCCGGGGTTTGCATCAACTATGGCGCGGCGTGAGGAGCCCAATATTGACGTAGATGCGGAAGGTGGCATGCCTATTGATTTAGTGGGCATTCCGGGCCTGCATTTAGGAGATGAGAGCGGTAGGTCTGAACTCTTCTTTTTTCTTGTTTTCCAGCAGCGCAACTGGATTTTCAGTTTAAAAACAATCAAAAACTAACAAGCTTTGTTTCCTCATGATTAGCTATTATGGCACCTGAAAATCCTCCCCCAATCGATCCCGCTGATCTTCCCCTTCTTATGACCCTCGACCAGCTCCGGAATCCAGCTCCAAAGAATGCAAACGTCAGTTTCCTGCGGCGCACGCAGTATATTGCTGCAGGCGCCGCGGGTCGTGGAGCGGACGGAAACCTCAAGGCAGTACCCTTTATTACTCCCACCGCCGTGAAATCAGCACCCCGTGCGATGAAACCCACTAAACTCTCCCGTGATGATCCAATACATGTTAAAAAATATATTCAAAAGGGATTTGACATCGCATATCCGGAAAGCAAACATGAAGGTGAAGATACAGCAAGCGGAATCAAAGGCCTACTCGCTACAAAAGTAGAACTCGACGCCTGGGCAAACCCCACTCATCCTGATAATCCAAAACTCAAACCAGTCGGATTCTACCCCGTCATTCCAGACCTGGGCGGTTTCCCTGACCCAGGCGGCTACGTGCAATTCAAATTTGACAAGGCGCCTGTCCAAGCAGCTCAGGGGCGACGTGATGAGCGCATGGATGTCGGGATTCTCGTCCCCTCTCTGCCCGAAGAGCGCGTCAGCAAAGAGCACGCAAGCAAAACTGCGCTTCACAAAGCAAACCCATCTCTATACCCGGACCCAGGCCCTATCCCCTGGGATTACGACCTCTTCCTCCCAGAGAAACAAGAAACGGCCCCACAAATAAAAGCCAGTCTGAACGTTCTAAACCCGAACCGGAACGACGAAGAAAACTACACACATGAATCATCCACCGGCACTGACGAAACTCTCAAACACCACCGCTACGACCGTATCCGTACCTACGCCACCAGCTCACAAAACCTCCACCCAGAGCAGAAATACAAAGACGTCGCACTGGTCCTGTTTGACCCAATGGAGACATCAAACCAAACATCTGCCCTACCCTATCGCCTCAAACAAAAGGCCGCCTACTACTATCCTATCCTTGGTAAGACGCGGCTGAAGCCCGAGCGCGCACGCACCATCGCACAAGCAGGGTTGGCTCCGACACGCCCCAAAGCCAAGGAGGAGCAGGTGCATCAGATTCAAATTGTTGTACGGGATCCAGATGAGGCGGAGGGGTATAAGCGGGCCTCGCATCGGGCGCAGGTTGATTCGAAGTTTGCGAAGACCTTGCCACCGCCACCGGAAGACAAGAGACAGACGGAGATGAAAGTGGATGGAGAGAAGGAGGAGGTGTTGGCGGAGAGGCCGGCAGGCGTGAGAAGGGAGGATGAAGGTGAGGATGAAATTGAGGATAGGTATAGAGAGACTGATAGGGTTGATGAGTCGGGTAATAGTAAGGACAAAGAAGAGGGGAGGCAGAGTAGCAGCGAGGATGATGAGATGGTTGATTCGTGATAGGGGTTAATGGGATGAAATGGGAACGTTTAACGTTGAATAAGTGGAATGGAAATTTTTGGTCATGTTTTGTTGTCTTAATTATAAGACCTCATACCCCTTTCCAGCTTGCCGAGCCATGATATTGGCTCCTCTTCCTTTTCTCCCTCCACTACTGCTGCATTCCATTCTCCCCCCTTTCCATCTTTCCTCCTATCCTGAGAACACATCTCATCTCACAGACTTCATAAACCACCTTATTGGCTTCCTGCTCTCCTCTAGTTGACACTAAGCACGTTATTTCCATCTTCCCCTCTTAATCCAGGTTGTAATTTAATTGCATTACACTATCCGATGCTGAAGTTAGTTGTCTCTGCTGGAGAAAAAAAGGTCATTAGTTACGGGCATATACACATGCAAAACAGAACACACGAAAACACCATACACCAACAGGACGTCAACTGCCGAGGTGAACGGGAGAAAGGAAAAACAATTGAGATGGAGAGCTTAAAGAAATAGACAAAACCTAATAATCCAAACAAAACCGGTATGGGGATTATCTCAACCTAACTTGCTACTTCTGCACTCGAATGGAGCCAATTTGAATACTTGATTTGGTTCTGTTTTATTTATCCATTTCCATTCTTCAGGAAAACGAACTCTTAACATAAATAAACTCCCATGCCAACCCAACCGCCCATATACATACCCACCCACCCATTCCTGCCGAGAGCGACGCTGCCAAAAGAAATAAAGTAAAACAGATAGATGCCAGGAATAAAAAGCACCACAACATAAAAACTCCAGTGCCTCGCTAGATCACAATGCGCCTGAACCTGGCAAACCTGGTAACCACAGAACATAGGTTTAAGAAAGAAAGAGAAAAAAAATACAAAGATCATACAAATAAACTGGCAAAAGTAGCACTTTGAGGGAGGGGCGTAACGAAAATGCAACCTAGCCAGCAGTGGGAAACAGATGGAGGAAAATAAAGTACGATCAATCATCAATATCAACTCGGGAGGGGTGAAGTGCCCAAGTTCCCAATAGGCGTATATAATCTAACGCAACCAAAACAATATTCGTCTATTCTTTCCATCTTCATCCCATCTAATTTGCTTCGCTTAAGGCTCAAGAGATGTGTGAACATGAATATCAGAATCCGACGCATTGTCGTTATCGTCGTCGTCGTCATCGATATCAACGCCTTCTCCACGCACTATGCGGTTCAAGACGCTCTTGTCAAAGAGATCCAGCGCAAAACGGCGTGCGGGAAGTCTAAAATGGTGACTCTCGAACAGGACCAGGATTTTTCGGAAAAGGGGGATCTGGCGAAAGTATTCGGGTTTTTTGGCTTTGAGACTATATAGGTACAAAGGGTTTGACAGTTAGCAAGTTTTACATTGGGATTGTTGACTGTTTCTCTTCCCTTTCCTTTTCTTTCTTTTGGATAAGGTTGGAAATGGACCAATGGTCAACCTACTTGTGAAGATCTGATGCTGCCCGCTTGGACAGAACGGTATTGCCCATGTCAATTATCAGATTCAGTATTTTTTGACGCACAGGGTCTGAGTCCGTGGCAGCTTCTTTGAATCTTTCCTTTTCTGCCTGTTCTTCCTCGAAGCTGGGTTTGTACTCCGGGAAAGAAACCTGTGTGATATCATACTACTTAGCTTGGAGACCCCTCAAAAACAATACAAAAACGACAGTTTAGGGGGGAAAAGCTAAGATAATAAACCGAGCGAACGGGGGAAGAACATACCGAATAAAGCTTACTCAAGTCCACAGGAATGCATGACCCAAGCGATTGCCCCTTGCGATCCACCGCAGCGTCCCAACCAGCCTCAATAAGCATCTCCATCCCATGCCGACTCCGAGAAATAAGCCCCAGCACAAAAAACGCCGTCCCCCTCATCGTCATCACCCCCGCATTTTCCGCAATCCTCACGACAGACTCCACGATCTCCGTCTCCTCAAGAAAAGGTGCACTAAGTTCCATCGACCCCATATTCCCTACCGCCCACAGACACCCTTTAACCTTAAGAAGGACCTCGGGATCCTCCTCGTCCAAATCAAAGTTGCGAATCGTATAAGCGAACTCATCGAAGTGGCCAGACTGCTCGAGAAGCTTACATCCTTCGGTCGTCCGTGCCAGCTCGCGGTAGAAATGTGGAGGCACGAGGCCGATATCCTGCATATCGACGATGTCATCGAAGGCAAAGCTGTTGCGTCGGGGTTGATCGACATACGCACGTGAAAGCGATGCTTCGACAAGTCCTACATATGCGTCGTTCTGGCCAAGGAACCAGTCGTCCATTTCCTGGGTGATATAGTCGAGGCCATCCAGGTAGTGATATCCGACGGACGTGGATAGGAATCGAAGAAGCAAGGGTGCACCAATTTCACCGAGGTGATCTAGGGATGGTCGACATTTGACCACGTACTCAAGACAACTTCTTTGGTTACAGGCCTCCTCGAGAATTTTAACGGCGACTTCGCAAACAGCGACATCGGGGTCGTAGAGCTGGGTCACCAGCAATTTGACAACCCACTCCCCATTTCCAATATCAGCCATCTGAGAGGGGAATGAAACACTCCCCACAACGTACTTGCGCAAGAGCTTCGTCGCAAAAATGCGAATGTCCTTTGATCCCGTAGTTAGAGCCTTGGAAAGGATGATCCGCAGATGACTTTCGAGTGAGAAATCCATGTTTCCAAGCAAAGTCTGAATGAGATCATTTCGATCCCTAAGCTCTATGATGTGGTAAAACATGTTGTGCATATGCCATCTCTCCATCATGTGGAGCCCGCTTGGTTCGCTGCTCAACGTCCCAAGTAACGCAAAGTAACCCCCACTCAACGTCTCGCTGATGCTGCTCCGAGAAAACACAGGCGACGGTGATGTAAGCCCACTCATGCGGTCGACTTGGGCAAGGCACTCGGCAACCTGGCGTAGGAGCTTATTTCCCGCTAGGTATTTGGTACCTTCGGGGGTTTGTAGCAGGGTGCGTATGAGCGCACAACCTGTACGGACATACCGTTGATTCGGCTTTGAGTTTCTTATCATAGAAAACCTAGACTTAAACGGTCGATAGAAGCCCATGAGCCGTTTCATAAATTTCGAGCCTCTGATTGCTTCATCTACGCGTTTGGGGTTTGTCAAAGGTCCTTCGATGATGCTGTGAATTAGATCCCATTTCCACTTCATGAAATTAACGGAGCTTAGGACATGGGTATCTAAAATTGCCGTCCGGAATTGTGCTTCGTCCATAGTGGGACTCAGTTTGGATTTTCCTTGGTCAGAGCTGAGTAATGAAGCAGATATATCGGCGTGCACTATATATTTGCCTGGTGAGACGTGCATCCCATCTGATCTAGTTAGGGTACGGTTGATGCTCTCCATTTGGTAAACAGTCGATGTCGACACATGTTGGTTCTCAGCATCTCGCGAGTTAGCGAAGGGAAGGAGTTGCGGAAGAACCTGAAGCTCGGCACTGATAGATTGCGGTAGAGAATGATGAGCCAGCTTCAATACCTCAGTGAGCAGCAAAGTGCTTTTCCTCTTCAGTGATAGGTCCGTTTCGTCTTCTATTAGATTTGACAAAGCCTAAAAATGTTGTCAGTTTTGTATTCTCCCCAATTGGTAAAGTAGACGGAGTTAAACGTTGGAATTAACAGTACCTTAATCAATCCTGCTTCAATGAGCACCGCAAGGATTAAAGTAGAGAAGTGAATTGTAAGGTCAAAGTTGTTGTTTTCATGTTCATAAAACGCACGGAGTTGTTTACTATCAGGCTCCGATCTCAAATTGGTAACTCTGCCATATGTAGTTAGTCTCCGTCCGGCAAGGAACGAAGATGACCATGACGGAGGTTTAATGCGGAGAGCATCAAATAAAAGTTCCAAGATTAAATCTCGTGCCTGGGGTACGGGAAATTGCAAAGAATCTAGCAATGATTTAATGGGTTTTGCCTTGTTGTGCAATAGAGTTAACAGGCCCGGCCAAGTTTTGAGCATTGAGGAGATGACTTTGGCAGATGATTTTAGCCTTGCATGGTGATTGCTATCCCCAAATGGGTCGGTGAAGGCAGCGAAAACACCTTCCAACTCACAGCCGGCGCGGAGGTATTTCCTGCTGCAAGGAGTGTCTAGGATATGTATAAAGCCGGCTGCCAGACTCTCCGAGGCGCCAAAAAGCCCTTCCCCGAGAGCATCATTCAAAATACCAATCCCTCCCGCAGAAAATAGAAGGCCCGGATCTTTCACGAGGATCTCCGTCAGCGTCATGATACAGATGTTTCTCAGACGATCATCCCGATGTTCAGCGATCGAAACAAGCGTCCTCACCACCCCACGTGATATCTCTCGAACCCCATCTTTAACATCAAGAAAGGCCCTGACAAACTTCAGCGCCTGTTCACGTTCCATGGTGGCTTTAGTCTCCTTCGCAAGGGACAGCATGACCAATTCATCCGTATGTAGGGACCTAATTATTTGGATGGACCTTCGATCGGCAATCGCATAACGTGTAAGCCGGTATCCGGCCGCGACGACGTCCCTGCTATCGCTAAGTAACATCACCTGAACCCGCAAGCCAAAAACATGCCAGGCCAGGTCATATTTTAACGTTGGATGCCTCTTAAACAACTCCACAAGACTATTAGCGCGTTCCACGTAGTAATCCGACAGCATGTCCTTTGTCTCCAGCTCCTGTAGGGTTTCTGAAAGGACGTAGGTCGGTGATTCCGTCTCCACGTCCCCATTCTCCATCCCCTCGTCCGGGCCCTGTGATGCCATAGAAGGTGATCGCAGTGGGCTGCCATGGAACATGGAAGATAAAGGGCCTGCAGGGGGTGATGTTTGGGCCTGCGCCCGCAACAGCTCCTCTTCCAGTTCGTGTCGCAGCTGTGCGATTTTCATATTCGACGAGCTAAGCTCCGACTCGACCTTCAGCCGTTGTTCCTTGGTCTGCTTCAGATTCTTCGCCAACAGCGCCTCCAGCATATTCTCCGTCCCAACTTTAATCTTCAGTTCCTTCGCAATCTTGCCGCGGAGAACGGCCTGGCGCTCCTCCGCGGTTGATGAAACGTTGGCTCCATCGAGAGCAATGGAACGGGAAAGAAAAGGGAGCTCAGGTCTCGGGGTAATACTGCGTACGGTGTTGACGGTTTTCAAATCGGAACTGAAACTGCCCGGTAGAGGACCGGAGGTGTTGAGAGAGGCGCCGCGGGGCCCGAAGTTACTGCTACTGGTCGCGGAGGGTTTGCCATTCTTGGAGGACTTGGAGGCAACATCGTGACAGCTTCCATCGGTGGAGCCTTCCTCCTGGCTTGAAAAGGAAGTCCCGTCTTTCAGCACGCGGTGCTGGGTTGGCGTCGCAGAGGAAGCCGGATCATATTTTGACGCCATGGATCTCCATCTAGTAGAGGTAGTAGCCGAGTCCCCTGTATCGCCCTTGAGAAGCACGGGAGGTATGACGTTGCATTTGGGATTCTCAGAGTTATCTCGAGTCAGATATCTGGTGTCGAATTAGTGTTCACTGCGGCAGGGGCGGAAGAGGTCATGGGGGTGGGGGTGGGGTTGGGGTGGTAGTGGTGGATCGATCGATATCAGCGGCGGCGGAGTCTAGGTTCCCTTAGCAGGCTGTCTGTAACCAGTCGTTGAGGCCCCGAGAGGGGGACGAGAGAGCGCGCCACAGGGGATGGCCGCTAAGCTGTGCAAAGCTGAGAGATATCAAGAGAGAGACAAACACGCGTTGCAAAAAGTCAGTTTCTACAGCACAGTATGGAAATGCCCATCCATTTATTATTGTCATTGTTGTCGTTGTCGTCCAGTGAGGTTCTCGGTGATGGGATGTTATCGTGATCAACGTCAAGGCGAACCTCAAACCCCAGCGCTTGGGAATTTGGGAAGGCGGCTGAGCACGAGCCTTGGCAGCAGCTATTTAACCACACGAGAATGCAACCTACAACACCTACAACACCTACACATCTTCACATCTTCACATCTATTTATATCATATTCTCTTCTTCAAAAGTATTGATTACCTTATTGAAACCCATTCTTTGTTGTTGCCATATTTATCGCGAGAAACACTACCAGTCCGGAGCCTTTTTTATATATATGGATTGTTTCAAGGGTGACTTGGCTTGAGCTAGCCAGGTTATATCATCTACATTCAAATTCATTATATGTCTGGAACCAGCCTCCCACCTCTTTTAATTATAGCCGAAAACCCTCTCCCGACGTTGTTGGATCTTGTCCAACAATCACCTAGCATATACATAATTACCCCTTTCCGAAGACGAACGGACGGGTCTGGCGCGCCATGCTTGAAATGATCTCTGAGTACCTTCGGAAAAATGTCAACCTAGAACAAATCTGCACGTCATCTTCCGGGCAGGGATCCCGGATGAATAGGACAAGCTCTGACTGACCATACATTTGAGTTGACGGATTTGATCTTTGCTGAACGCAGGAAATACATATATCATGACCCCTCCATTGCTAACTCCCTTATAACCTCTCGCTCTTCTGCTCGCCTTCCAGTGATAACTCAAACCTAAACATCTTGCTACTGCGAGAGATTCCAGATTTTTTTTTCGAGAGAACGTCCAGAAATCACTCGGAAAAGATATGCTTTTGTTCAACATCAGGTATGTGGACATGAGGTCCGGTTCATCGCTTTTGACCCAAGCATGTTCCCGGCTTAAGAAATATTTCAGTGCTATTCTACTCTACCCTACAGTCTTGTTAGCTGACCAGGATCCGACGTCGTGGCAAAACGAGTTCCAAGTTCGTGACCAAAAAAAAAAAAATGACAACATCTATATTGTTGAATGTAGATAGAAGAAAACTATGAGCAGCTGGAAATGAGACAGAGTAGAGTTATTCCAGTAAATTACTTTATCCATGTGGAATAGAGAGCCAGGTATTAACCGAGAACATAGAGAGAAAGAGAGTAAATTCAAGCTGTTACCGCGTCAGTCCAACCACTCTGTCGATGTGGAAGAGAGAACTCGTGTATCCCTGAGAGCCTGAAGGGGAAAAGAGAAAAGATAAAGAAAGAGAAAGACAAATCAAAGAGAAACCAATCCGCCACCCAGTCAAAGCCAACCATCCACTATCAAGTTTGCAATACGTCCGATTTCCGTGGAGCCTTCATCACACGACGATTCGTTCTCACTATCACGCAGTATCTTATCGATGTAATCTCCGGCACCACTACGGTCAAGGATAATAGCAATTGCGCGGTGCAGAGCAAGCAGTCTTGGGGATGGCGGGTCAAAGATGTTATCTTCGGAGAACATCAGAGTTCTTGTCACAGGGAGATCGGTGTGTTCGAAGTCCAAAGTGCTAGATTCACGTATTGTGTACGTGTGTCTGGGATGACTTGAACCATCAGCAGCAGCAGCAGCCTCACCATCCGTGGCTTCGAAGGATATTTGGAAGAGAGCAAAGCACTCGTAAATCTCGGCTGTCAGGGTAATGGCATTTCTTGGGTGATGGATATGCAGTCCCTCAATCGACTTAAGCACATCTGGGTCCAGCATGTTGAGTAACAACTGTGCGGTTTTCTTGGAATCGTTCTATTGTAGCCAGGGTTAGGGATGAGGTTAAGGGAAGCAAAACGCGTGTAATTGGGGAATGGAAAATCTTCACATACCAACTGAACCTCTCCGTCAACAGTCGTTCCTGACATGATTGCATAGGGTATAATGTGCGAGACCGCAAGACGTGAAAGGGTGCCAGGTGCGTAAACTGCATTTCTGAAAGTAGAAGTGTTTCGCTTCCTTCTCTCCAAAATCTCGATGTTAAAGTCGTCCGTAACCACACACCGGTTACGATCCCGAGCGAGACAATTACGTCGGAGAGCAGACAAATTTGCTGGTGATCCAACTGCATTTGCAAGCGAGGGATCTGATAAACGCGAACGAGCTGCGTTCCGCCGTGGCAGCCTGGCCCCTCCAGCCTTGACTATGAATAAATTCGAGTTAGGCTACGCATAAGCAACGAGATAGCGCAGATGTTAGTGGAATCAGTGATCAAAATGTGCAGTCGGACGTACTCGGGAGATACAAACTATCAACAAGATGTTGTGAGAAAGAGTTTATTGCTGCTACAGCCTCCCTCTTCTGCATCGGGGTAGCCTGGGAGCCGAAGCTCGAAAATCTGGACAGGCCATCGGCAAAAACTGGAGAAGATCCCTCAATGCTTCGATCCTGAGTGTTGTCCAAGTGGGTGAAAAACAGTTTGAGAAATGTGGCTTTTGAAAGAGAATGCTCATAAGTAAGGCGAACAAGAGTGGGCCTCTGATATGGTTTGCTGCTCTGCAGGAATTCGCAATAGCTGATCAATTTTTGAAAGATGAGACTGGCCTCTTCCAGCTCAGCTGTCTTCAGGGGTTGTTCCATTGAGCTCTGAGGTTGAGGATCAGCTGCCGACTCTCCACATGGTGGAACAGACATGACAACCATGACTAACTATGTCATAACTATGAATGTGAAGGGTATAGTTGTTGAATGAGAATAAAAAAGAAAGATGTGAGAGCTTCTTCCAGAAGGGCAGCACATCTCTCAGCCTGGTTGCCAGGCAACATTTCTGTCCTGACAACCGCCCAGTGTTTCTTTAAGCATCTCCATTGAACATATGCAGATAAGCATATACATGCGAGCCAAAATTTATAGTTCAACTCAATGGTCCAGTTTCAGCGTAGATAGCTAAACAACATCATCTTAATGGAGATGACGGTAAAGAATTCCTGAATGGCAGTTAAGCTGTGTCAAGAACAGCTGTTGATTGAGCATCACAAGCTTTATTAAGAGTGATGGCATCAATCACTAATGTATTTCCCAAGTGAGCACAACACCCAAGTGAGCGCAACACCAAAACCACTAAAGTTCAATTGACTCTTAGATTTTAATTCAAATTATCTCAACATTACAACACTCAATTAAATTAAATTAAATTACACATAGCTGAGAATATCTTAATCTTATATGTTTGAGAATATTACAATTACTGCAGCATTGTTAAGGTTATCAACATGAAGCAAATACAGATAATAAGAACTTATAAAATTGAATAATTGACTGTTCAACAGGTGTTGCAGACCCTGCAGATGCTGCAGATAAAGTGAGAAGACTTTGAACTTCTTCACTAGTTAAATCTTCTACTTTTTATTGAATTTGATATCTAAATCTCTTGTATTTTACTTTTTTATCTCATTTATATTGAATATATTCTAATATTACTTTTTCATAATAGTGATAATGATCATCTTATGATTCTCTAAAAGATATTAATTTTAAAGTACTTTGATAAGCAGTATGAGAAGATAAATATTTTAATAAGTAGTATGATAAACAATATAAAAGCAAAAAGCTAATAGAGAAAATTTTAATATCATAAAAAATAAACTCTAAAAATTTAAAGAAAGATTATCATATTATAAAATTTAATAATCAGAAAGAAATTTCAATCATAGAAGTTATCTCTCTATATTTATAAGTAGATGAATAAAGGTTTCTCAATATATTAAAGTTAATGATAAATCTGAAAAGTACTGATATGATTCTAAAATAATTCTAACTGATAAAGTAAAAAATATAACTAGATATAAAGAATCAATATTTAGTTTAATCAAGTATGCAAATAATTGAAAATAAGATATTAGAAAAATATAATATAATAATTTCAAGAAAACTTCTGAAGAGATTAGTAATGAAGTTAAAGTATCAATAAGATACAGATCATTATAATAAACTTATTGATAAAAAATTTAAGCAGAAAATTATTGAAAGATCTATAAGAGCTTATTGAAAAAAATAAATTAAATATACAGTAAAAAAAATAATATTCATTGAGAGTATGATCTTTTATCATTATAAAAAAAATCAAAAATCAAAAATCTTTATTTTAAATCTCTATAAAATAGATAAAATCATTAAAAAGAAAAAGATTATTATTAATATAGAACTAAAGAATAAAGAAATAATTAATAAATAACTATTAAATAACTATAAAAAATTCTATAATATTTTTTTAAAGATTATCTTTAATTAATTATCATTTTTCTGAAAGAAAATAAATTATAAAATTGAGCTTAAGAAGAGAGCTGATCTGATAAAACTATTAGTTATATATTATTATATTGAATGAGCTTGATAAAGCTTGAGATAATCAAATAATATTTTATGATTAATCTAGAGAAGAGTTTTATTTTATTAATAACTTTCTCATTTGCATCTTCAATTCTTATAGCTCATATAATAAGCAAACTGAGATTTTATATGAATTATTATCAGTTTAATATAATCTTAAAGAAGAATCAATATTTAATTTCATTAGTTGATGAGCTGATAGAGTAATTAAATGAAGTTAATTTTTTTATCAAATTGAATATTTATAAAGACTTTCATCAAATATATATATATTCTGAAATTAAAGATCTGACTTGCTTTTAAAATATATTACAAGATCTATAAGTATAAAATCATACTTTTTGATTTAAGTAATAATCTTATAATCTTTTAATGCTTTATGAATATTATTTTCTTTGACTACTTGAATCAATTCATAACTGCTTTTGTGAATAACCTGCTTATTTATAGTAAAATTTTAAAAGAACATAAAAAATATATCAAGAAAATATTAATTAAATTGTGAGAAGCTGAACTATAGATAAGTATTTCAAAATATGAGTTTTATTATCACTAATTAAGATATCAAAGTAAATCTAAAAAAAATTATAATAATATCACAATAAGTAGTATCTAGTACAGTTAATAGAGTTCAATTCTTCTTGAAATTCTACAACTTTTATTAATATTTTATCAAGAAATACAGTTGAATTATAAAGTTACTATTTAAATTTACTTAGAAAAATTAATCTTTTAAGTAAAATAAAATTTATTAGTATATCTTTAATTAAATAAAAAAAGCTCTGTTTGAAACCTCAGTATTTTATCATTATAATCTGAATTGAAAAACTTAGATAAAAATGAATACTTTAGATAATACTATAGCTAATATTCTATCTCAGTCGTGTGAGAATAAACAGTGATATTTAATTATCTTTTACTCAGTTTCAATGAGTGAAGCAGAGAGAAACTATAAAATTCATGATAAAAAAATACTAGTAATTATAATAGCACTGATAAAATAATATACTAAGCTGAAAGATCTTCAAAAAATAGAGAGATTTAAAATCTTAATTAATTATTAAGCTATTAAGTATTTTATAATAATTAAAAATCTTAATATCTAATAAGTATGTTAAATAGAATTTCTCTTCTGATTTTACTTTTTAATTTAATATTAGTCTGAATATCAAAATATACTAATAGATATACTGAGTCAGTTATAGATTTAAAAAGATGATAAAAACACTCAGATGCAATTGTTCCTCAAGTCAAAAAAATTGAATTCAAAGATTATCAAGAAATTTATTAAAATCAAAGCTTTAGATATAGATATATATATTCTTGATGAAGTCAAGACAAGAAACAAAAGAATAGAATTACTAAGATCATGATGTGAGAAAGTACAACAGAGAGAATAGTACTAAGAACTGATAAATAAACTTTTATATTTTAAAAAGTACTTAGTGATATCAATTGAAAAAGATTCTACTCTCTAAGTGTATTTTCTAAAGAAGATTTATAAATAGTCATCAATAGTACATTTTGAGAAGTAAAAGTTACATTTGCTAATAAAGATAAAATATTACTAAAATGATTAAATCAAGAATATCAATCAGTATATAAATAATTATCTGATGTACTGATGAATGAAGATCTTTTATAATAAAACTTCAGAGCTATTGAAGTTATTATCAATCTCAAATAAAGTTTAATAGCATATATTAATGAACTTTATAAATAACTTTATAATAAAAAAAGATCATAATTTGATATTAATAATTGTTTATTATCTAAGTAAGAAGTTTATATCTGTTTTCATTATTAGAAAGATAAATATCAAGAAGCTGATGAGACTGTTCTTAAAGCACTACTATGAATATTATAAGAAATCAAATTTAATTATATTAAATTATAAATTATAATTTATTTCAAACTTTTGAGATGAGTTTATCAGATGATTGAGAATTAAGCTAAAGCTTTTATCAGCTTATCACATATAAATAGATAATTAGATTGAAATTACCAATCAATATTTGATGGTCAAGATCTGTATATATATAAACTACTATTAAAACAACTACAATAAGTGACTATCAATAATAAATCATGTGACTAAAACTCTGATAAATAAATCAACTAAGATAACACTCTTTCTAACTGCTGATAAATATAAATTTTAAATGTTCTTTAATTGAATATCACTGTTAAAAATGCTATCTAGAGAAGAGAAGCTTAAATAAAAAAATACTTAGTAGCATATTATTCAAATAAAGAAAATATGAAAGCTGACAGCTGGCAATATGAAAAAAATATAACAAATTATGAAATTATAAATCAATAAGCATTATTAAAAGTTAAACTTTGAAATAAAAGATAAAATCTTTCTATCATTCAAAAATTATAAAATTCAACATCTCAGCAGAAAGCTCATAAAGTAAAATAAAGACTTTTTTAAAATTATTGAGAAAGTTGACAATAACTACATACTATAACTATTAAACAGTATGAAAATTCATCTAATATTCTCTTCTGATAAGTTACAAAAAGTTGCAAATAGCTCTCTATCAGAATAATTAAATGAGATATCAGAATCAGTCAAGATATAGAGAGAAAATGAGTAAAAAGTTGAGAATATTTTAGTAAGCTATATCTCTCATTAGAAGCTTCAATATTAAATAAAATAATTAAAATTTAATGAAGATTTAACATGATATTCAACATAAAATCTAAAGAGATCACTGCATCTAATTCAAGAATTTCATAATGTAAATTCAATAAAAACAGAGTTCTTAAAGTGATTAAGTAAATGACTGAAGATTTGAGAAAAAAATAACTTTCTAGCAGATGAAACAGATAATAATCTATCAGTATAAAAGTATGTCTAGACTTCAAGAGAGGATAATATGATGATATAGAATGAGCTCTATCTAAGCTTCTCCATAGTATAACTATTACAGACTAAGATAATTGATAATTATATAAATTAATATGATTAATAATCATAACTGTCTAAATAATAATATAGCAACTAATCTCATATATGAATAACAAATAAATGTTAATCATCTACTAACTGCACTAAGAACAAATACTATAAATAAAATCTTTTCTGAACTTATCTTTCAGAAATTATTTTAATATTTATATAAATAATTTATATAATTGACAATCAAATATCAGTTCATCTATATCTATATTAAAGATGTGATATTAACTATTATAAAATAAAGTTTTAATAAAATTTTAAAAGTTTTTAAAATATCTTTAATTAAAACTATAAAAATAAAAGTTTCAATTTCATCATTAACTATTAGATTTGATAAAAGTTATATAAATTATACTTTAAAACTTATAAAAATAAATATAAATTATTCAATTTAAATAAAAGTATCTACTTTATATTTATCAAATATATTTGAAAAAAAGTTTAAATAAAGAAAATTTTTAGATTAAAATGAATATTCTAGTAATTCAAAGAAGATATTATCTTCTTAACTATATAGAATATGTACTATAATTAAAAATTAACTATCAAATTTAAATATAAAAAGTATAAATTACAGTAGGCTCTATTCTTGAAAAAAAATTTAAAATCATTAATAAATATTACTATTAATGAACTGTTAAAAAAAAAGGAAAAAACTACATATACTTAAAAACTTCTAAAGATAAATAAAAAGAACTCATTATTAATATATTTATATAATTCAAAAAATAAATAAAGATAGTGAAGAATTAATATAGCAGTTATATATTTTAAATCAGATTTAGATCATAAGATATTTTTATGAAATCTAGAAAAAAAATTTAAAGTTTTTAATATTACATTATTTGTAATTTAAAAGACTTTTATAATAATTTATAAAATAATTTCTCAGAAAATAAAAATTAATAATATTTGAATATTTTTAAATAGTTAAATAGTATTAAAAAGATATCAAAAATTTAAAATTTAAAATAATTAAATAAATTTTGATTTAATTCAAAAAATAGTAAAAAGAATTAAAATTAAAAATAAAAATATTTAAATTTATTTATTTTCAATATCTATTTATATAAATATTCTAGAAAATAAAAAAGTAGATTTAATAATAAAATTTAAAATTAAAACTTAGAAAATAACTCAAAAAATTATATTTTAATCATATATTAAAAGAAAAATAAAAGAATTATATCTTGATAAATAAATAAAGATTTGAAAAAAAGAGAAAAAAAATACTAAATATATAAGATATAAAATAAAATTAAAATAAAAATTTACATCAATAAAATATAAAAAGAAAATATTTTCCTTTATAATATAATTGAAACTTAGATACAACTACTTTAAATTATATATAAAAAAATTTAAAAATTCTTTAAACTTTGATAGATATAATTTTATAATATAATTAAAAATTCAAATTATATACTAATAAATTATTCATTAACCAATGAGATAAAAAAGAAATTTAAAAAAATACTTAATTAATTAATTAAATATAATCTTTCTATTTAATATTAAATAAGAAAAAAAGTTTTTAATTAAATTTATAGAGAAAATAAAAACTATTTCTAAAGAATAAAATTTAATATTAAATAAATTTAATATTTAATTTATAAAAAAGCTGAGAATATTTTTAATAATATTTTTATTAAAATTACTTTTATATTATTTTATTATTTTATTTTATTTTATTTTATTTTTATTTTATTTAAATTGAAAAAGAAGTTAAAGTAAAATTAAACTATAAATATATTTTTTATTAAAAGATTATTAAATACTATATTATTTTAAAATAAAACTTTATAAATATATAAGTTGGTTATTATTTATTAATTAAATTGATAAAATAGTTAAATTTTAATTTAACTAAATAGATATTATAGTTACTGATTGAATATATATTAAATAAAACATAATAATAATAATCAAGACTTCAATATTAAATACTTTTATTTACTTTTTAAATTATTTATATATATATATATAAAATTTTATTTATATTTTTAATATTTAAATTTAATAATTAATAATTAATTTTAAATTTAAAACTTTTAATTTATTAATAAAATATATAAAAAGTTTAATAATATTTATAATTTATTATAATTAATAGAAAATATTATAAATAAATTTAAAAAATTATAAAAAAATTAAAATATTTATAATAAATATTTAATAATTATATTAAAAAATATATAAATAAAAATTTAATTATAAAATATAAAATTAAAATTAAATTTTAATTAAATTTTAATAATATATAAATAAATTAATTTTTTTAAATATTTAATTATTATTATATTAAATGTATAATTATTAATTAAATATATTTTCTAAAATTTATAATATTTTTTATATAAATATATTTTAATCAATTATTAAAAACTTATTTCTTTTATAAAAAATTTATAATTTATAATTATTTGATATTATAAAAAAATAATAAATTAAAATAATAAATTATAATATAAAATTGAATAAATTATATATTATTATATATATTATTCTAGTTTTAATTTAAATATAAATAAATATATATTTAATTATTAATAATATATTAAAATAATTTAAAAGTAGAAATTTTTTTTAAATTTATTATATATAATATTTTTTATTAATAATTATTATATTTTTATTAAATTATTATTATTATTATTATTTTAAAATTTTATTAATTTTTATAATTTAATAATTATATATTATTATAATTAAATAATTAATATTATTATATATAAATATTTATAAAAATATCTATTTAATAAATAAAATAATATTAAAAATAAAATAATATTTAATTTATATATAATATTAATTATTTTTTAATAATTTATTAAATAAATTTTATAAAAGTATAATTTCGGTTTGCGCCGACCTGGCCGCTTCGCGCCCGTTGCGGTCTGGCGCCCTCCCGATCCGGTCGTCTGAGCTGTCTGACGCCTATATAAACCTCCTCCGACTCCCTCTTTCTTTTACGGCCTCCCTCTTCCTTTACAATTCTCATTTCCTCTTGGCGCTCCCCCCCCAAACGTTCCCCGGCTCTAATGGCGCCACTTCGCACCCTTTCTTCCTTCTCACCAGTCTCATTGTCTCGCTACCGACCGCCGACGATGCCGGTGCTGCCGTCGCATCGCTTCGCTCCGCTCCAGCGCCTGGGTCGGGGCCGGGGCCTGCACTTGGGCCTGCACGTGGGCCTGCACGGAGGAACCTGCCGTGCCGTGCTGATTCCTTTTGGCTGATGGCCTGGCAGACCGGCAGGCCAAGGCGCCGGCGTTGCGAGGCCCGTTTACCATCCGTTTCGACTCATGTCCGTTCTCGCGAGCGAAAATCACAGGGAAAAGGCCTCTTGAGACCTCCCTCTCCTTGACATCTGTCGACCACAGGAGGATCCACACGAGCTGCGCCTCCGTGCTCGCTTTGCGAGGGATCGCCATGCTTTTCATTCCCCTCGCTTGGGCCGGCGGCGCCAATGGCGAAAATCCCTCACCCGATGGACGCAGGCAGTGAGCATCAGGCCCGTCTTACGTGGCACCCAGTGCGTATGCACCTCGGCCGGTTTTCCTGCATGTGGTAGCCTCGTCCGTTCTGAATCCCACCATTCCCACCACCATCCCACCAACTCGGCGAATCGGGGAGGGACGATTGGGGGGATTTTCAACGTAAGGGAGGTCGCCCCGATCGCAGCTATCTCCGCGGCGACGTGGAGCTGCGCCTCCTTTCCGTTTCGATTGCTCCGACCCCGGCGACGATTGTGATACTCGTTTGGCCCGAACCAGGGAGATCCTGTGATGGTTCGCATCTCCGGCCTCGCCGGAGAAACCTGGCAATCCACGAGAGGAGAGGGGTAATTTTTGCAACAGTGGCTTTCTATCCGATAGTCGAATTTCGGCATCCCTGCGCGACTCAGCCGTTCCTGGTCGTTACATGCAACGGCGGTTGGCGCATGAAAGGGGGAAACAAAAAAATGATCAGGGATGAAGGCCGGATCTTGTGAAGGCCGCGCTCCCTCTGGCGGTTTCTCCGGAGGCAGATTCCAATTTCCCTGCACGCGAATTGGCCACCTCGTACATTCCATGGTCTGCCTTGCCGTGGGGCGATAACTGTATCGGGAGGGTTACCTCGATCCGTGGCGAGGCACCACTGCCCAGCTGACGTGGCTTTGATGAGGGATACGTATAGCGCAAAATCGCATCAGGGAACCATTGACCAGCGAGCTCCTTTGCTTTCTATCTTTACTTTTTTCTCCAAGGGTGTGTGGGGGCAGGAGACGAGAGAAGAAGATGAGGAGCTACTGCTTTGTTTCGGTGTCGCCGATTTATCCTTGCTGTGCGAGCGCGGTGCGAAGCGGTCTGCTTGGGGATAGCTGGAACTGAATTCTTAGCCCTTCCCCAATGAGGAGAAATGTACATAGAGGCTATATAAGAGGCCTGCTTTCCCGGTCTGTTTGGACATGAGAGAATGAACAATATGCACTTTGAAGTTTAACCCTCACCAGCTACAATTTCCCTTCCCTAATAACCATGGCCGTGGATATGAACTTTATCATCCCGTACTGCCCACTGCCCCCCAAGCCTCCCAAGCCTCTCCCCACTAAACCCTTTATTCGTGAATACCATCTTCCCCAGCCCGACCCTATGCCCTCAACACAATCCATCATCCCTGAACCGCCGTTTACCCATCCACCTCCCTGGCCCCCTCTTCCCTTCTGCAGATATACCCTCAGTGGCCTTGACAGCCAGATCGGGGCTCGAGCATCGAACACTCCGTTCAACGAGTTCGACGCTGAGCTGGAGCGCTTGGAGGTCGTGGAGGTGATTGACATGAACAGTCACAGTTCCACCGACCATGGCGATGTTGAGCCGTTTAGCACCCGTGTCGCCGGCGTGATCCAAGGTAGGCGCCCTTCACTCGAGTGAAGACCTTCTGGGTCGTCTGCTGATCGAAGATGCAATGTTTTCTCCAGGCTCAACCGCGCCAGACGCCAGGCCCCGCCGGGAAGCCTCAAGCGACAGACCTTCACACAAGGCCGACCGATCATCACCTCAGAAAATCACCCCTCCTCTTTCCGATAGCGATCGCGATCCCGCGCTGGATGAGTGTGAACCGAAAGCCTCGGGTCCTCCGCCTGACTTGGCGGTGTTCTCTGACCAACGCCTGTACAGTTTAGTGAAGCTACCGAGGTCAGAAAGCCGCCAAGGTAAGTCAACTCCCACATATTTTTTTTTTTCTTTTTCCATTTGTCTGTGGAGCTCCACCTTCTGACTGCGTTCGGCAGAGCAACCGATCGCCGTGGACTTGGAGAGCGATGGAGAGAATTCTCCGAACGATGGTGAATCCAGGAGGACTATTGGTCTTGATATGCGCGCAGGTGCCACGGGCGGAGGGATTGTGAATACATCTTCCAGCCCGAGAGCCAAATCGGAGCCTGAAACTCCCGCCGACCCTGGAAAGCGCGATGGGAAAGAGCGCCAGCCGATGGAGCGGGGACGCGTGCGACGCGCGGAAGTTCGAGTTGAGATTCCTTTCCCGCTAGACGCTCTCCAGGAGAGAGAGGGCCGAGGCGATAGGAGCGACCCTAGCGACAATAGCAACAACAGTGACTTCAATAACTCCAGCAACTGCAGCTGCAGCGACGGCGACGACGACGACGGCGACGAGGCGTATCGGGAAAGTGATGGTGATGACCATGTCACTAAGCGGCCGCGCAAGCGGCGGAGGCTCTGGACGCGGCGGTCCTCCAGGTCCCTTGTCACTTCTGTCGCTTGCGCTTGCAGAGGAGATCCCTCCCCAACTGCTGTGGTAAACGATAAGCCAGGGAAACGGAATCCGACGACAAAACACGGTGAAAACCCGGCCGGTGATTCCTCCAGTGTGTCCGCTGTCCCACGAGATGATGCGGTGACAAACCGCTCGGGCGACGACATACCGGTCTCCGGTTTTCTTTCAAGCTACGTGGCTGGGTCCAAAGTGTGCTACACGATAACATTCTGTCACAAGGAAACCCGCCGGCTCCTGTCGGCAAATGCAAACGGTCTGTCGAGCCCCGGTCGAGAAGCGCGGCCGTCTGTCGCGACCGGTATACGTGTGCCATTTACCTCGTAGGACGACACGCTGCTGAAAGAACTCAAGGAGGGAGGCGAGCCATGGGATGAAATCGCCAAGCGCTTCCCAGTCAGATCCAAGGCGATTCTGCAGGTGCGGTACTCCACCAAGCTGAAGCACCGCACCCCGGCGCCAACTCGCAAGTCGAAGTCGAAGTCGAGGCCGAGAAAAGATGGATGCCGTTGAGCGAGAATATCCCAACCGCTGCTACAAGGAGACTGCCACAGCTATGCACGTACCCTCTACTTACAGAAACCTCCCCTTACCATGGATGAAGTGGCCACTTCCGGTGCGTCCCACGCCAGTGTCTCTCCACGAAGGAGGAGTGGCTGGTTGAAAAGGTAGTGGATCCCGGGATCCGCGTGCGAGGGGGCAAGTCAATGGGAGATCGCGCAGGGGGCGGTTGACGAAGGATTGTAAAGTCGATTGGTCAGGATCTTCATCTGTGTTAATGTGTCATATCAATTTCAGTCCTGATTTGTTCCGTACTATCTTGATTGTTTTCTCGTTTGCTTCTGTTCCCTTCATTTGATCTTATTTCGCTTCTCACATTTCATTCCGGCCCAGGAGCCCATTTGATATTGCCTATCACATTCCCGCCCAAGGTCTTGTGTGTGTTCCTTTGTTGGTGTCTTTGTTTGTTTGCTCTTCCCCCTTCCTTCCTTTGTCTCTCACTTGGGTTTTTCTTCGAAGCATTTCAGTTCGTCAGCCTCGTCTAGCTCCGGAGAGAAGTATAGAAACCTCGCTGGTTCTGGATAAGTATATTTATATTTTTAAGCCGTAATAAATCATACTCCGCAAATCGACTGGAAATTCGCATCTCAACAGAAACCCTGTCGCTCTTCTCACTTGCAATAGGAAGTTTTACAGAATTCACCGCAATGCCGAATGCCAACCATGGCATGCGAAGACCTTCATCAACCTCCTCGGACGTCAAGGGCGGCGACAATACGTCTCAGCGAGACGAAATCATGGAGATCCATAGCCAGGTGCTCGAAATGATGGAAATATTTAAGCGAATGTCCGCGATGCTCGAGAGAATAGAAACACGGAGTAAAGAACAATATGATGCCAATCTACAGGCCTCTGTGAGAGAAGATCGGGATGTAGCACGTACCATTTGAGTGCCGGTGAGCATTATTTCCATATCCAGTGGGCTTTATTGCTGACCGTTCAGCAAGGTACGTCGAGAATGAGTACAATGAATGGAAGGAGGGGGAATCCGATAATTGGACAGTCCCTGTTGGTTCATCCCTTGCTATGGTTGTTACCCGACCATGTACATCTGCGAATCGAAACGAACTACTCCCCTGTGGTGCTCATGGGTGTGGGTCATATGGCTATTTCTCGGTGGGAGTTCACTATTGTGCCGGCATTTTCTCATAATTGCGCGTGAAAAAGCTCTAGAAACAACAATGCCTTTGTTCCCGCCACTCCTCCACGAGACATAGAATATTTTCTAGGGCCCATATTTCATTCTTAAAAGTAGATCATGTAGCTGATTTAGTAAGCTGGGCTCATATAAATGCTACTTATTCGCTAGAAAATAGCAATCATTAAACTTATTCGGTTTCAATCAGAGCTATCGTATCATCATACGCCTTGATAATAGGATCATATAACCTTTGTGGGTCTTGCGGCGTTCCAACAATAAGTCCTTCCTCCCCATGAGGAAATAGTATGCGCCGTATGGTTCTGCAGAGTGGTTTGACCCAGTCAAACCATGGAGGAAATTCTTTCATAAGGATGCGCTCAAAGCCGCCAGCTTCCATGTTGCCTCGTTTATAGGTTGCAATTTCCTCGTAGGTGCCGGTGTACCATTTCTTGAGCGTACTAGATTCGGGCCTCTCCTGTAGTTGATGAGATGTTTGTGGCGGTTTAAATTCCCAACCGTGATGGGCACATTGCCAGATAAGCACGTAGAAGAACGACTCAAGATCATGCCGATAGGTGTGGTCAATATTAAGTAGCACCTCGATCGCCATGAACTCCATTGTGCCAGTCTGGTGACGCGCGCCGCTTCGCCCGCTTCCGACTTCTTTGGCAAGATCTAGATCAATTAGCATACCCGAGTGACCATCCACTTTATCTGGATTGGTTATTATTATATTGTTCTCTGAAATATCCCGATGAAGGATGTTCCCATCCAAGTAAAGAGACCGGTGAGCCTTAATTGCATCGCGAAGTGCCTTGAGCAGCTCCAGTGGTGATTCGTACCTGTAGATCGGCCGGCCAGGGGGTGAGATCACAAGACACCGGAGGACACGGTTGTCGTAGAGTTCCTCACCATTCCTGTCGAAGAGGCTCGGTTTGTGCGCTGACTGAATGGAGAAAGCTAGTTCATTCTCCTCCTGGGTGTCCCTTGATGGTTGATTGGTGGAACGCGATCGTTTGGACGTCTGCATCCCCTTATCCGGGGATCTGCGTTTCCTGGAAGATGACTTTCGATGGATATCTAAGCGACGTGGCTCAATGAGCGGCTGAGATTGATGAAATGAGGAGGCTGTGCTGGGGGGTGCGCTTTTGAAGTTGTGGTGCTTGTCATCAAATGTCAGGCCACAGCGCATGTCGGCGATGCTGGTGATGTTACTGTGACCAATGATCCTTGCGACTCCTTGGACATTCTTTTGACCTGCTAGCTCGAGGAGTTCCACCTCCGGCCGCCGCTTGTCTGACACCCACGAGAATTTAGCTACGCCTTGTCCATCATTTGTGAGAAAACATGTGGTCCCGCGACACACGATGGCATGTTGAAAGGAAAGTATTTCACCCAGCCGCAGCACTTTTTCATCTAACATCCCAGGCCCTTTGATGGTTATTGATTTGTTGCCATCTTCATCCCTAGCTATAAAACTATCCAGTCCCAGGTCCTCATCACTCATCATGGCGTACCCGACAAGCACCTGAAAGAACTGCCTTGAGTCCTCATAGACATCGATGACGCCGGAGCTATAGGGACCCGAACGGTCGAACACCCACGCCTCCATCTTGGTCCCGCAGACGGCGAACGCGTGGACGAACCGCCGGGTGGGCTGGGCGGCAAAGACCTCACGCACGTAGCGGCTCATCTGAAGCAGAGTGCCTTTGGTCTTGATCTCATCCTTGGATTTTTTGAGCTCGCCAACTACCAGGATGTCTCTCCAGTTGTGTTTGTTTCGCGAGGGGCTCCCACCCCTAGCTCGCAAAAGAAGGTCGACTTGCCGTTCTGCCTTTGAACCAGTAAGATTTGCTTTGCTGGCTGTGGTGTAGTAGGTGCTGCGTGATTCTGAGAGAAGGTCTTCTTGAAGACGAAACCACCAGGTGAGGACATTGTCCTGTGTAGGAAGATCAGGAAACTGGGCCCAATTACCATCACTGCCCGGGGCCAATATGCGTTGACAGATGGCATCTGCTTTGCCGCTCCAGTCCTTCTCCTCAAAGTATTTGTTGAAGAAGCCCTTGACGTCTCGAAAGGTGCAGCCACATATCTCCTCAAAGATTCTCGGATTCACCAACTCATGCGTCTGCTCGGAACCTTTCTGCGATGATGAGGTGGATTTGACTGGCGTGCTGTCAACGGAGGGGGGGATGCTCGCCGGAGGAGTTGTTTGAGGGGCGTTGTCAATGAGGTTAAATACAGCAGTCCAGATGTCAATGTTCCATTTTTTGACACCCTGGAGTTCATCGTCTGGTGGCCTTTGGATAACCAGGTGTACCAGTAGGCGATTCTCGTCATACCTGAAGCTTCCTTTTGCTTTTTGGAGGCGCTCGACTAAGTGTGCTAGATCAGACGCCATATTCCCGTTACTCATTCGCGAGCGAAGGCTGTAAGCTGCATCCTCTCCCTGTAAAGCAGAGAGGAGTTTTGAAATCGCATTTCGATAGAGTTTGTCAAGGCTCTCATCAGCGCCATCATAAATTAGACGCGACTCATATATTCTTTCGGCTTCCTGAAGCGCGTTTCGTAAACGATCAACTAAGTTGGTTAGAGGATGGTTCTTGATAATTTTGCGATCTTCATGTGAAAGTCCCGCCATTTTGACGGCATAAAAGACAACGCGTTGGGTTGGTGTGAGGTTAATTAGGAGTTGTAAGGATGCTAATATTATATGTGATGGGAAGCAAACACGGGAACAAAATGCAGAACTGTCAGGAAGTTATGATGTATGATACCTGCGAGAGAAGATAGCTCGCTGGGAACAGATGCTGATAATATATAATCCAAGGGAGGACTATGGTCAAAGGGTTGATCCGGCTTGGCTCTGATGCAGAACGCGGATGTGGGGAACGGAGAGAGCCGCCGAGCAAGGAACCGGGCGGAGATTAATCCTATTGGATCGCGGACGGAATGGTAATAAGCGCGAACAAAATAGGGGGAATTGAAACCGTATTTTGAGGAAGGTCAGTCTATTCCCATTTAGGATTGATTAAACGGCCGTGCTATAATAAAGATCACCTGATCACCCCCACAATCTCTCTTCTCTGCCCTCTCTCATTTCGTTTCTATTTTCCCTCACTACAAAAGAAACTTCAAGAACTAGGGCGGCGACGCTCCTGATGCTAGTATATAGACTGCGTAGAATGTTGAATTTTACAAACTGAAACCTATATCCCAGACGGCATCGCGATAGAACTAACTGTTGAACGCCATTTCGAGCGATCGGTCGGCGTATGCCGATAAGCCCTGTTGTCTCGAAAAGACTCCATATACAATCACGTGGAACAGCCCCTCCAGGTGCTGACGCGCGGTTTTCATTACATAGATTCCCTCCTATATGCGATCGCGTAGATGGAATTCTTTCAAGTGTGGCAAGCATCCTCCAAAAGCTGGCACAGCTACAAAACATTACCAACCTGGGAGAACTCTTCAGCGTTTACAAGTTGCGCAGCCAGGAGCAGCTGGAGGGAGAAAGGCAGCGAAGCAGCTGCCAAAACGTTTGGAATTGGACATTGCTGAGCAGTAATAGTAGCAATGTCCCAAATCTTGCACTACAATGAATGTTTATTAACATAATAAGAGCAGAACGTACACGACAGGAAGAAAGACGCTCCTCGGACGCGCAGTCGCGAATGGCGTAATTCATAAAAATGGCAAAACTCGAATGGTATTGACAGTGGACGATTATACCAGGATTCCCCTTTAGATCTTGGGATATCTAAAACGGACCCCGTGTCTCTTGGGAACCGCCATTCCTCCTCACACACTTCCAAAGTCTGTGGCCTGAAAGAGGCGGACCGAAATCTTTGGGTCGGAGAAAAGCTAAACCAACCTGCTACATTCCAACGGACAAATCCAATTGTGTTGCGGTAGCAGCGTCTGGCATAAGGTTTTAGGCAAGCTTTTTTCCCCCGTTTGTTCAAGGCTAGTTAGTAGATTTCTATTAATTGGAGATGATATCCAAATGGCTAGCGCAACTCAAGTTTTGATTTTATCCAAGGCATGCTTGCAATCGACCCAGGGTGTCGAAAGTCCGCGGCTGAGCTTCTGTAGCACAATCGGAGTGAATAGCTACGCCCGTGAATAGCGAGAGAGGGAGAAGGTGAATATATTACTAAGAAAACGAAGGGATCCCGCGCGATGGATGGGAAAACAGAGATGCCGGAACAACATTTTCCCCAGAACTCCGGATCAAAAAGGTTTTCCCTCGCGCGATTAGCCAGTCATTTTCTGAATGCCCCTCACCAGTGCTCACGCCATGCCCCTCACCACATCCTTTATCTTCTTTTTTTTTTTTTCATCGGGCGCTCCCTCTATATTAGATGCTGATGGGCACAGGGCAGATTTTTTTTTCTCTTTTTCTCTCGTAATTTTTTTGTGTCGTGTCTTCTAATCACGATCCTGTGGAAATAGCACTAGGAGATGAGCTGGAAAAGATAGGACAGGATATGTGGGTGGCGGAAGCAAAAAAGATTTGCTTTGGGACGGTGATAGAAGGCCATCATTGTCTCCAGGGCTCCTGATATGCCCGGAAGATGTTCTTTTTTGGGGAGGCAAAGAATATGGGTTTGGGCTTGAAGGCCGAAATAGAGCGTCCTCATTGCTGCTTGTGCTTGCGGGATGAGTGGACGAGGTTGGGGAAAGGCAAAGAGCGGTTGCGTTATTCTCACAGCGGGCGGAACTACTGGAGAACGTGGACTGTTGAAAGCACAGCTGGCATTCAACAGACATTAGTTTTGATTCAAGAAATTTGATATACTCGGTATCGCTGCCCTGAAAGTCGAACAGTCGACGGCTATTTTCCATCTTCGCTGAACTGGGCGTAGTGGAAGGGTTTGGGTGAAAACATCGATGAATAATGAATAAGTAAAGGGCGAGCTAGTCCAGAAACAGCGACCTTTTTAATCTTGCATTCCATCAACCATTCCTACAAAATCCCCCTAACTGCAAATTTGCCTCAAAATGGGCGCGGCAAAGGATAAGTTACAATGGTTTTTGCTCTTCATTCGTTGAGATGAGGGCACGGACAACACGACCTTCTTTTTTAGGTTGATACATGGGATCCAATCGCACTCGGAGAGCTATATGATATTGCAGCTGCGCCGTGATGGAAAAGACCAGGATTATGCACAGTGCCAGACTGTGTCGAGGGCATTTTGTACTGAACATAGAATTACCAAACAATATTATCCTCCTGCATTCGCCAGACCATGCAAGCGAAGAATATCATACTAGCTCTGGAGAAATTTGTGCTCGAGCCTTTAGCTTTAATATCCTTCTCGCCTTCCACGGATTATCCTCTCCCAGGGTGATCGGTGCAAGTTTCCCGCACACTTCGGGGGAAGAGCAGGGAATCTCATGAATCTGTCCTAAACTAACACAGCGTCCAGACTCATTCTCGCATAGGATTCGGATGACCATTTTTCACATCGTGATGGATAGACTGTCCTCATTGGACAAAGGGAAGTTCAAAAAGACTCATTTTCGGGCTCAATATCACTCTTGCCGGGATTAGGCCATCACGGAAGTAGTCGTTCTCCCAGAACGGGGTGCCTTCCATTGACAATTAACATTGGGGATGGGTTGAACCATATTTGGTTGGATACCATCACAACGGCCCGCCTCCATACCTCCCCAGATTGTCACTGGTGCACCCAGACTATCTATGCCATTGCAGTATATGCGGGATGCCTTGGAAAAGACCAGGAGCATGCAAAGTGCAGTCGGGGGTGCCAGGCTGTGTCAAGGCCACGGGGAAACTTGCGTCGATCACCGTGGGAGCGCGAGTGTGATATACATGTCCAGCTTGAGCCTGTGCCATCCTCATGCAAAGGGATCACAACAGATTAATAATAATTGTAACTATTTGTACAGACCCTGGACAAGTTTTTGTCATCAACATTTGCTGAAATGAGGATGGCATACTCCTTTGACCATCAAAAAAGCCCTCATTTGAAGCACACAGAGCATGACTGCTTGATAGTTATAAATCACACAAAATCACTCTATGATGGATCATTTCAAAATGGACCACCTTGACTATCTTTTCTTGCAAAATGTATTCTAACATCTCATACGCACTTCTATTGGCAACACTCATTGTATTATGTACAATGCATCTCATCTTGCTAACTTTCACTGTCTTCAGTCTCATTATTTGTCTGAGATATTAATCTTCATTCTCTTTATCTGTCTCAAGGCTGTCATCACTGATGTTGATCTATCAGACTTAAAATGTGAAAGTGAGCAGTCTCTTCTATTGAGATGATGATGATAAATACTAAATACTTGTCTCAAATACATCAGCAATTTACTATCTTTTGAAAGTATGTGCAGCATTTTCATTAGCTTTAAAGATATGTTATTTTCAATTTTTTAATTTGATCTCTGCTAACTGTGATGTTTAAATGATTTAGTAGAGTAAAATTCAGACTGAATCTTTTACAAACATCTCACTGCATCAGTTATTTCTAATATATGATTTTTTGTCCTTTGTGATAAAGCTGAATTTAATCTTATAATGTGCTCTTCTCTTCAACAAGATGTGGATGAAAGATATAACTGTGATTGTGTTTATTAACTACATGATTCTTATGATTGCTAGTCTACTTTTTTGATGCAGAATTTGTAATATATCATTTCAGAGTCTTGTAATCTGTAAAGTAACAATTCCTGTATTTCTTGTAACAGCAAAGTTTGTTATAGATAAACTCATTCACAACTGATTCTTCTAAATCAAAGTAAGTTTAGTGAAATTACAGTTCTTATTTTAACATGTGCTAACATGACTTTAAATAATGTTGATTATTATTATTATTGATATCTATATAATTTAAAATATCATTACTCAGTTTATTGAATCAGAAAATATAATGTTGTTAGTGAATTTCAACAATGATACTGTTTTTTGTTTCTAATTGCATTATTAATATAAATTATTAGTCACTTAAAATAATATTAAACAGTAAAAAAGTTCATAATTCTAAGTCTAGCAATAGTAAAAAACAGATTATGAATCTTCTGCAGATGCATCAATCTCAATTAATTTAATATTAAATGATATATCTCATCAGAGCTATTTGAAAATGTCAAAACAGATTTATTTATATTTCTTTTTTTTATTTTTTTAAACTAAATATAAAATATGCTTAAATGTTCTTTTCATATATAAGTATAATTTTCACACTTTCATTTTTAACTAATTGAATTATTAATATTAATAACAAGATATGTGATCAAATTTAAGTTAATAAAAATAGTAAAAATTATTTTTCTCAGTTTCAATAAACTTACTATCATTATCACTATTTATTAACAAATAATATCTATAGTTTGAATTTTTCAAAAATATATATATAGAAAAAAGTCTATTTTTTGAATATTAGCAACATTGAAAGCTATGTTTATCTCTTTTCTCTTTTTCAATATAACTGTTAAATTGTTTAGTTGACCTGAAACAATAAAAGAAATACTATCTTTCACAGATCATTCTCATAGTGTAATGACAGAGAAAAAGAAAGAAAGAAAAATAAGTGAAGATGAAAATAAAATAGAGAATATAGAAAAAGAAGAAAAGAAGAAGAAGAAAGAGAAGAAAAAGAAAAAAGATAAGAAAGAGAAGAAGAAAAATAAAAATAAAAAAGAAAAGAGAGATAAAAAAAAGAAAAAAATATAAAAGATAAGAAAGAGAAAAAGAGAAGAAGATGAGCAGTATCAATGACTATCACTATGAATTTAAAAATGATTTATTTTGTCTCATATCAAGTATTATTAATTATCTATAAAAATTTTATTTTATACTCAAAATATCTATTTCAGCTAACAATCTCAGGGCTATAATAAGAGAGAATTTAAAACTGACTTGATCCATACAAGCTAAAATAAGTAGTATGGCTGAACATATCATGTACTTTGTGAAGAAAAATATTTTTTGATAAGTTTTCTTCCTCTATAGTGGAGAATCATGTTTATTAACTTCTTGATAGCTAAATGATGAGCTGAAAAAAAATCAAATAAATATGATAAATAATTATATCTGACACTTATTGCATAAGATTTGACCAGGATATAATTACATTGAATATATAAAGAAATCTTGAGTGAACTATTTCTTGCTCTCATAAGTGATAGACCTTATCATATTATTGATATGAAAACAGAAACAGATATCTGAGTAATTGAATGTGCTGAGTGTGTAAATCAAAAGCTGATATTCATAAATATCAATTTGAGTAACTAATTATCATAGACAGTAAATATCTCAGTGCAGTGATTTGAGAAAATAACTTTAGCTCAATTCAATCTATTTTATAAGAAGTAATTTTTATCATACAAAATATACTCTGATTTATAATTTATTTCAGTACTTTATCAAATTATATTTTTAAGATTGATGACTTTGAGAAATGAAAATTGTCATACAAATTTGATCTCATTTATAAGCATAAGTTAAATGATTCAATCTTTAATTGCAAAGAACTATGTAGAGAAATTTTTAGATATTTAAAATCAAATGAATACTTTGAATTCAAATCACTTGAACACAGTTTCTTCTCAGATGATAAAATATATAAAAAAGTTGTACATGCACTTGAATGACAACAGCATATCATAAGGAGTTAAAATAAGCTGTTAAAGTCTTTCTGTGAAGTCTATATCCTATGATACCCCTAACCATCACCAAGGATCCCGAGAGAGGCCTGACAGCTGAAATAAAAATTCTCAAACAGATGATGACACTCATATTCTGGATTATCAGCAGATTCACCCCGCCTATTGTGGCACTAATATTGATGTGCCTTGCTCCTACAGCATGAGCAATGACTTCCTCAGTGATGAACAGTCCAGGAGACGCAAGTGAGGGCCACAGCAATCAGAAGAACTGGCTGCGAAGTGGCTTCACATTGCCTCTGCATCCTCTATAGAAGGTTCCTCCACAGTCCTTTGCTCCCAGTTCCTGTCGCTACGGCTCGACGAGCGTTTGCAGTTCCTTTCTTGGTTGTTTGAAGGTGCTTTGGCGAGTTGCATGCCCGACTTAGCGCCTGCAATATGGGGAGATGAGAATGTGCGGTCAGCCGGTCGCTTGGGCCCACACAAATTCAGAAAAACTCAGCGTGAGTGCGGCGAGGGGAGAAAGGGCCACAGAGACAAGCTGTGGTGATGACTCCCTGAGGATGACGCACAGCTCCTGAGCATGATGGAGGAATGCTAACCCTGGCCGGAGATAGAGAGGTGTTTTCCAGAAAGGACGGAATCGGTCCTGCGCCAGCGGGTGTCTACACTTCGGAAACAAGAGAGGGGAATGCGTACAGCCGAACCCGCCGGTGTCCCAGCAGCATCTGCAACCCCGGGGGGTGAGACGTAATGCTAATCCGTGTACGTGAAAGTGATATCATGATCAACCACAAGTTGGCCTCTCCTAGCCGTTCATTAACCGCCCTTGGTAGGCAGGTGAGGGTACGGTAGCCTTGATTGGCAGTGTCCTTATGGGCCAACCCACAGCTCGCCACAGGTATATAACCGGAGAAGCCGAGCCGCCTGCCCATCCCACTGCCATGCGTTCCCCTCTTCTGCTGCACGCAGCCACAGCCGAATGATACCTACCCTCTTGTCCCCCCATGGTGATCCGCTTGCGACAGCTGCGGAAGGGACGTCACTGCTGCATGAGTTCTATTTTCAGATTTCATCCTCGGATATTGTTGGCTGGCTGCGCCGTGCTTCAATGCCTGGAGGGAGCATCCTGAGGCGAGCACCCTGTGACTGCCCCCCATTTCTTGGTATACACAGAGGGCTCCCTTCGCCTCCAGATCCATCGTTCTTCTCACTCTGAAGCATAACCC